AAATATTTTCCATCCGAATCACTCAAACTTTATTAGTGTTGTTACAATGTAAAAGTAACCGGTTATGTAGCCGACAAGTTACAAATTCTCAAGAGAGAGTTGTAAATTTCTCCCTGCATTGGGAACATCAGGGACTACACCTACCAGCAATTTACAACTTATAACTTTCCGGTTACCTAGTAACCTGTCACTCTTTACAGTGCTGATGAAGTTCCAGTGATTTGGACAAAATAATAATATTTGTTTCATTTTCTTAATTTTTGCCCGGAGTTTTGGAATTTTCTATACTAAATTTAAGCAAAATTATATCCACTATCAGAAAATAGGGACGTTTAAACAAAACAAACCAATCTCATATTTCAGGAACCCAAACTTACTAGGTCAATTAGCCAAATCAGCAACTGGTAATTGTACTTACTCAATAGTGGATTCAGCTACATCTTTGAATGCCACAATATTGTCTTCATTTTCGGTTATAAACCGAATGTCCTCTTCCAATACTTCCCTGACAACCACATGCATTTCTTTAATTTCTTTAAGGAAGTATTCCTTGTTTTTGCACTAAAAAATAAAGTTTTGTCAACCACAACCCAAAGTGTAAGTTTTTTAAATCTATTATTAACGATCAAAATAACTGACACAACAGTATTTACTCAAATAAGCGCCATGGTGCTTACTGACACGTACATGTAGGTGGAACTTATTTAAGGGTGCTGCTAATTTGAGGGCAGTGTTTAATTGAAATTTGAAGGCGACAAAGAATTGTTTTCACTACAGTTATTTATAGTATAATGTTTTTCGTATTTTAAAACTATCATCAATATCTTCAAGAGCACCAGTAATGTGTCATGGAGCTCTGGCTATATCAGCTTTAAGCTCATTTAAGTCTAAGGATTTATAATGAGTCTTTATTTCATCAAAAGATAAAACTACATATCTTATGTTACAATAATACGGAGGATAAAAAACTATGATAAAAATATCTACATATATATATATATACACATCGGCACTAGAAAGTCGAGGACGCGGGTTCAAATCCCGTTCAAGGCAATTTTTAGAGTTTCACTTGTGTTCATTTATTTCTTTCTTTCACTGGTTTCAGTTCATTTGTGTTATGTATATATATATATATATATATAAATATTGGAAGTAGGAAAAAAACTACACTTTCATCCCGACAAGCCTGTTTCGTGATCTCTCACTCTTCAGGGGATTTTAATGATAAGAATATTCATAACCATCGACTATATACTTTGCGATTACATTGTTGGGGAAAATTTAAATTTAAATGTTTAATTGTTAGATAGCAACGCTTTGTTTCTGTGGCGGCAAGAAGATACAAGTTCGTTACGTTTGTTAAGTGATGATAGATTGGGACGACAGATAATTAAAAATCTCTCTTTGAGGCAAAGGTTACACCTTTTACTTGAACTGTTATAGGATGAGCTAGATGAAATGATACGCCATGAAATAGAGTAGTCAATGTTGTTGTCTTTCAGGGACCAGACATGTTTACTTAGTTCCGTAGAGTTCCTGTGTTTTGTGTGACGGAATGATGCAGTGTGGTTTCTATACCTAGTTATGAAGGCGTTTTCCGTGAGTCCGATGTATCTTTCAGAAGTGTTATTGTCGTTACGTTTGACGGTTGCTTGGTAGATAACTGATGATTGAAGGCAGTTTCCGTTAAGAGGGCATGAGTTTTTTTGTCGGCAGTTACATGATTTGTTGTCAACAGAGTTATCTGTGGATTTATCTGTGTGTTTGGATGCATTCAGGATACGCTTTTTGTGGTTGTCGATAATTTGTTTAGTGTTATTCATGCAACTGTAACTGATCTTGATGGTATTGCGGTTCAAGATTTTTCTGAGTTTGTTCTCTTTAGGGAAGTGTTTATCTACTAGGAATATAGGTTTTTCGTTTTCGTTGCTTAACGTCTATTTTGTTGTGCGTTTTGCCTTCATTGCAGTTTTTTCTTGATTCATTGCTCCTTTATCGTATCTGCGTTCTTTGACGTTGTGGGGTTTAGCTTGTAGTTTTTGCGTCAGTTGTATGTTTGTTCAGGTTAGTGCTAGTTTTTCTTTTGCCTGTGAAAATGCGATCGTCTTGTACGTTTCTCGTTTGTTTCGTTCGCTTTGCTTGCCTTTCCTTGTTCAGTTGCTATAAGCAATAATACCTTGACTTTGGCATTTGTTCGTAACGCACCGCGTTTGGCGTATCGCACCAGATACAGCAAACGTACAATTTTACAGGTTTGCAATGAAATGAAGTCACATGCATGAATACAGCTTTTTCAAGAAAGGTTGTCGAAAAATGTGTACGCGACAATCACGAAAGTAATTGTGAGTGGCTTTGAGTGCACTGTTCTTCAAAGAAATTTGAAAGAATGACACATACCCTGGGTACCAGAGGCTTTTCTCGCGTTCGGCGGGAATTTTCGGTGTTTTCGGCCGTAGGCGGGTCACTAAGAAGACTTGACAGAAACCGGAAACCGCGCTAGAAAAATCTCTTTCACCCAGGGTAAATGACACAGGGACATATCTTCATATGTTTGCGAGTGCAAAGGATAGCAACAAAAGTAGGTTCGACAGCTACAGTCGTTACAAACAGTGTATTGATCATATCCCATATTACCTTTCGGGATTTTGCATGCAAAACCCTGTCTCAGGATGCACGTTACGTGAAGGCGTACAGAGATGAGATTGACGCACTGAAGTTAAAGGTATGAGGCTTGTCCCCAGTGCAGATAGAGCTATAGTCCTTGGTCACTCGGCGGCCATTTTGTCCCAAGATATTAAAAAAGCTTTGTATTTGCACGGCTAGCCTCGCAATAAGAACTTGGCTAGCCGCGCAAAAACAAAGCTTTTTTAATCTCCTGGGACAAAGTGACCGCCGCATGACAAAGGTCTATAGCTGTATCTGCACTGGGGGCAAGCCTCATACCATACATACATACATTTATTTGATAAGTAGGTTTGTAATAAGCAACTGTACAGCTGATGTGGACCTACTACTACTAAGTCTAGATAAGAGAACAAAGATTTACAATACAATTATTAAGATAAAAAGACTAATCAATTAATTAAAAATGTGAAAATTCAGGGTTCTTATTATAATGTACTGAGCATTCCTTTTGAAAACTGATGTCCCTAACGTAGGTCTTGATCGATTTTAACTTTTCTTTTAAAAGAGTGAGGGTTTTCAAGCTGTTTGATAGTGTCAGGTAAAGAGTTCCAGGCAATTGTAGCTCTGTGTTTAAATGAACGACGACCCTGTTCGGTTCTTGGCCTAGATACAACAACATTTAACGATTTCCTAAGACTATAAAAAGAAGCGTTTTTAACAACTAAACTATTTATATCACCTAACTCTAAATCATAAAAAGCTCTATGCGTTATATTTAGAATACGAGATCAATAAAAATATTTTAATGGCATCAAACATGCAAGTCGAATCGAACTGTAAACTCTTTATTTCAAGTTTGTCTGACTATTACAGAACCGTTTTCTCCTTTCTATCTCGAGGAAATGAAAGTCTTGTCATTTTCACGCACGGTTAATCAGTTAATTATGCGAGTTCGCAAGCCGAAAGTTGAATACAAATTAGCTCTACAGCTAGACCCAAGGGAGCACCTTGAAAATAGTCAAAGAAATCAAGCTCTTTTTTTTAAAATCGTTTCCCTCCTCAATTTTTTAATTCCCTCCTCCACAATTGTAATATTTTCCCTGTATTTTTTTTATTCCCTCCACCACAATTTTAATATTTTCCCTCAATTTCATTATTTCCCCTCCTCAATGTTATTATTCCCTCCTCCACAATTTTATTATTTTCCCTCCTCCTCCTCCTCCTCATTTTTTATTGTTTTCCCTCCACCACCACCACCACCACCACATTTCTATTGTTTTCCCTCCACCACCACCACATTTCTATTGTTTTCCCTCCACCACCACCACCACCACCACCACATTTCTATTGTTTTCCCTCCACCACCACCACCACCACATTTCTATTGTTTTCCCTCCACCACCACCACCACCACATTTCTATTGTTTTCCCTCCACCACCACCACCACCACCACATTTCTATTGTTTTCTTTCCTCCTCCTCCTCCTCCTCCTCCTCCTCCTCATTTTTGTTCCCTCCTCCTCCTCCTCCTCATTTTTATTGTTTTCCCTCCTCCTCCTCCTCCTCATTCTATTGTTTTTCCTCCTCCTCCTCCTCATTTTTGTTCCCTCCTCCTCCTCCTCCTCCTCCTCCTCCTCATTTTTATTGTTTTCCCTCCTCCTCCTCCTCCTCCTCCTCATTTTTGTTTTCCCTCCTCCTCCTCCTCCTCATTTTGGTTTTGGTACAGTAGGGGTACAGGAGGGGTACAGGAGGGGTACAGGAGGGGTCCCCTCCTGTACCCCTCCTGTACCCCTACTGTACCAAAACCAAAATGAGGAGGAGGAGGAGGAGGGAAAACAATAAAAATGAGGAGGAGGAGGAGGATAAAAATGAGGAGGAGGAGGAGGAGGGAGAAAAAAAAATGAGGAGGAGGAGGAGGAGGAGGAAAGAAAACAATAGAAATGTGGTGGTGGTGGTGGTGGTGGAGGGTGGTGGTGGTGGTGGAGGAAAAAAGAAATGTGGTGGTGGAAATGGAGGGAAAACAATAGAAATGTGGTGGGGTGGTGGTGGTGGTGGTGGTGGTGGAGGAAAACAATAGAAATGGTGGTGGTGGTGGTGGTGGTGGTGGTGGGGGGAATGGTGGTGGTGGTAACATTGAGGTGGGGGAAATAATGAAATTGAGGGAAAATATTAAAATTGTGGTGGAGGGAATAAAAAAAATACAGGGAAAATATTACAATTGTGGAGGAGGGAATTAAAAAATTGAGGAGGGAAACGATTTTAAAAAAAAGAGCTTGATTTCTTTGACTATTTTCAAGGTGCTCCCTTGGGTCTAGCTGTAGAGCTAATTTGTATTCAACTTTCGGCTTGCGAACTCGCATAATTAACTGATTAACCGTGCGTGAAAATGACAAGACTTTCATTTCCTCGAGATAGAAAGGAGAAAACGGTTCTGTAATAGTCAGACAAACTTGAAATAAAGAGTTTACAGTTCGATTCGACTTGCATGTTTGGAGCAACGTTTAAAGAATATTGGTGATAGTAAGACTTTTTCCTTAGCAAAGCGATTGCAAGAATAAAATGCTGAACGGAGAGCGCGCTTTTATGTTAAACACATAATAGATTGTTTACTATCCAATCAGGGTTAAAAGAGCCCGGGCAAGTCTAGACAAGCCTATTGTTCCTATTGTAGTAGAGTGACGCTCATTAGTAAACCTAATCCAAATTAGTATGTAGGTTATAAGAATGGGTGACGTCATTGACTAGACCTAGCTAGACCTATATAACTACTAACGTTCCACGCACACTACATACTTCCTCTTTCATTTTATGATTCCTTGATATTCTGACCTGCACTGAGAAGTCTTTCCTGTCTTCTTTTTGGGCAAAAAGACGAACTCCTGCAAAGTAGTCTTCTTCACTTGTAGAGAACTTAATGCTTTCGGAGACGGAAACGAAATTCTCTGAACTAGGAAGCGTCTTATTTTCTCTGTATCGATAGCAACGTGACAACTCGATGCCTGATCTTTGCGATTGAAGGAGCGGTCCTCGTGGAATGCATGAAAACCTCATTTCAGGATAAGGCATGGTTCTATGTTTGTGGAAAAGATACATTTGTGAGGTTTCTCTCTCAGTTAGAATTCCCGTAGGTACCACGATTTTCGTTAAACAGGCGAGGTGGCATCAAAGGAAAACGAATAAAGTAAATAGCATCCTTTAAAACCTTCCTCATGTTTTCTCCTATTGGTTCCAAACCCCGTGCTTTACAATTGGCAGCCGCCCATCTTCTTGCTGTCTTGAAAACAGCGCATTCCCCGTCTACTAAAGTAAGAGCATCTCTCTTAAGAGGAGACGACAAAGTGTCGAGGCTTATCCACAGCAAACCCTCGCTCTGAAGGCAAGCACTTGTCTTCCTCTCCAACAGCTTCCAGCACTGTTGCTCTCGACTGGATTCACTGAATAACTTGGCGTGCTCCAAAATCTTGAAAACATTACTTTCTCTTAGCTCTGCCTGAAACGACAACACTGTTCTGCCAGAAAGGGCACAATGTATTTTTTCGCCAAATACAACACCTCGAATACGTTTCCAAAGGTCAAGTGGATTTCATTCGAGTATAAATACCGAAGGGACTAGAGGAAACTGTGAGGATCGCAATCAGAGAGTGGAATCTCGTTTCTAGGGTCAGCTATGTTACCGTAAACATGGCGTGAAAAAGAGGGCTGGAAAGCGACAGCAGAAACTTGTGAGCGTAGATCGTTTGAAGACCCTTTATGTTTTTTGTTGAGTTTGAATCGTCAATTTCGCACTTGGCATGACTCATGAAAGAATTGTTTATCATAAGCGTTGTTCTTTCTCGAATGGTTCTTTTTTCTGTTTGCCAGTTTTCACAAGTCACAGAACAACTTGTCGGAGTCATTGCAACTGCCATGTTAAACAAAAACAGACGGTTGTTGTTCATCTAAAATGGCAACTGGAGTTACCATTTGTGGACACTCAGGTATTTGATTCGCACTGTAATATAGCTAATAACATGATTTGTAGTGATATTTGGCATAAACACCACGAGTGATGTTTTAAAATTGTTATACGTAATTTCACGAGCCGATAGGCGAGTGAAATTTGAAACAATTTTGAAATATCACAAGTGGTATTTATGCCAAATATCACGTACAAATCATGCTATTATTTGTTTATACTACTACCCGCAAAAGGTTTGTAATTTTCACAAGCTGAGGTGTTTCAAATTAAGCTGAAATACCACTGCTCTAAGCCAATCGAATTGCAGAAATTTATCATGTAGTAGTATAATAATAAACAAAAATTCCAGTATGCTTACGTAGATAATCAGTTCGGTTTTGTTCGCTTGACCCACGAACCAGTTAACCTACGCCGGGGTCCTATAAATAGGATATGTTATTTTGTGTAGATTCATATAGATCTTAAATTACCGGAGTCAAATCTGCGTAACTGATGCCGGCCACTCTGAGCACACTGCAAGACTTTTGACCAACAAAGTGGTCATATCGACTATGCAGGGTTGTCTTACGGACCGTGCTCTGTCGCTGTCAAAGCCGCATAGTCACTAAAAGCTACCACTTTTTATACAAGTTAAGCTACTTTTTACAGTGTAATCTGTAAGCTCTCACCAGGTTATCTCCTCCTACAGTCAATATAAAATAACTCTGTTTTTGTTGATAAGCACCTATTGAGAATTACACTCGAGACCACTCGATTTCTGTATGGCGCCACGGTCTTTGAGTTTTAGTTTTAATCATGGATTTCCTTAAATGTCTTTGGTCTCAAAGATTGGCATATGAAATACATACCTCTTATTGGCCGAGTTTTCGGTCCGTACTGTAAATTACGGACCGAGTTTTTTCCATCGATTTATGGCCCAAGTGCGAAGCGCGCGGGCCATAAATCGATGGAAAAAAAACGAGGATCCGTAATTTACAGTACGGACCGAAAAAACGAGGCTAATAAGATGTTTATTATATGGCTTCTTCCTGTTTGGGGGACCGGAAACAAGTGTCTGGCTCGAACTCGCTTCTATCTTTCTTTCGTTGGTCTTTGAAAAAACACTGCAAATGACAAAAAAGCTTGTCAAGATGATCGGGTACAGGTATGTTTGTTACAAGGGTTTGTTATCGTATTTGTCGAAGGAATTTCTCATTTTCTGTTAGGCAAAACATCTCGAATCTCTGCCAGTCGATTTTCGTCTTCTTAACTGTGTACGATAAAATTTCCAAACACTGACTAGAATCCTCTTCGATAAGATTACGAGTTAGTTTCTTCATCGCCTTCGTTCACAAATAAACACAGTTTAAAATGTTGAAGGCCAAAGTCAACATCCAAGTCCTAAAGGTTAACAGGCGTCTTATAACTTTATTTAAACCTTTTTCCGAGGAAAAGAGATTTAGAGTTCCGAAATGAGCATTTTCTTCAAAAATTTTGGTCCTTATAGCAAGTTACGGACCGCAAATTGACCAATCGCATGGCGAAAACAGACTCAGCCATATAATAATTGAATATCATTTTTTGTTTATATACTTGTTTAGTTACCCACATCGTCTTCTTTTATTCGAATTCAATTCAAAACCCTAAGATTGGTATGTTTAATTAGCTCTTTTTATAAAGTTTTTGTGCAGTTTTTATCCCGCTCGATTGAATTTTAATCTTAATGTAAATATTCAGCTGAAGAAAATCTTTGCTGTATTTTCTTTCCTGTGGCTCCTAAGTTCGTCACTCCTTGTTTGACACTCAGATTATGAATTATCTACCAAGACACAAAAACCTTTCTTTATTCTAAAAGAGAGCTTAATTGTGATAATATAAATAAAGTTCAAAAATCATGTTGTAATGTTTTGGTTTGCAATCGATCGCGCGTTTTGAACATCAACACCAACGCGCCCTTCTTCAACATACATAGGTTGTAGGCTGAAGTAAAATTTTCCTGAAACTTTTAAATCTCCGTAGGAAAAAAAATAAAAATATTCTTCACCGGTCTAGGTCGGTCCGTACTGGGAGAAAATGTGCCCTCGGTCTGAGTACCGCCCTCGGCCTACGGTCTCGGGCGGTACAAGACCTCGTGCACAGTTTCTCCCAATACGGACCTCCCAGCCGATGAATAACATATATGTATTACATGGAGGACTCGAGAACTTAATATATGCTCGGATTTTCACATGCTCGTCGAAATCTTCACGAATTATCTTATCTGTTTATGCAGTGTAAAGCGGTGTATCTATTTGTCATTTTTTTTCCTTTTTTCGGTTATCCTTGCTTTATTTCAACTTAAATCTATAGACCTGTGGAACCGTTTAAATTACTTGCAATCACATATGGAAAATAAGGATCGAAACTATTTTTGAGAACTTTTGACGGTAGACCTTAAAATACATGTTTTGGTTGGACTAGCTGACAGAGTTCCTTCCCCAGTGATGTGTTTGAATTTAGTTAGCAAGTAAAGCACTCGGAAAAAACCTTTAAAGGGTATTCTTATTATTATCACAGTGTGATACCCCTCAGTGTAGTTGAAAAATGAATATCCAGAGACATTCAGCAAATAACACAGGAAAAGTGTCAAAGGAAAATTTGTTCGACCGTTCACTTTTGCTGTTATGGTAGAGCCTAAATTGGCATAGGATATTTATTTATTTATTTACATTGTCCATTTATTATTATTTATTTTTTTAAAAAAGTGGGACCTATTGAAGTTGTCGATATCTTCAACCAGCGATTATTATCCAGAATTCTTTATCTCATCCCAAAATGATTGCAGTTCTTTAAAATTGAATGTCTAGCCACTGTCTAACGTGGCCGCGAAATAAGATCCCAAGGCACTTTCCGTACCACACCGCATACAATTTGAACCTCCTCGGCTTTCAGCATGTGTACCATCATATCGATTCTTGGTGGAAGCGTGAAGTTGTAGAGCCAAACTCGGCTTTCGGGTTGTAAATACAGTTTCTGTTTTTAATCCGCTGGAAAAACTATGCAATTGTCCCTTTTTTGAACCAAGAAGACTCAGTTGACGGTCTGTTCACGAGGGGTTAGGGACGTATATCCAAGGAGCAGCCTAAGACTGAAAGAAATGTTTTAGACAGCAGCTAACATCAGGTGCCGGACCCGGCAGATCCGGCTAATGTTAATGTCTCCTCGGCCAGTTGTTTTCACTAGTTTATTTAGAACATCATTACTAGCGAACGGCCAAAACTGGGCTGTGGAAACTGGTTATTTGTTTATTAAGAAAAAATCACTAAACAACAAATTTTGTGACAGAAAAAAGGACAATTACTCGACTCACGCACTAAGCGATGATCAGACTGTCAGACTGATAGCTACTGATTTGTACTTATGGACACCCAAACTGACCGTATCTATATAGTCGAAGTGTTATCACGCGCTCGAATATTAGATAATCTGAAAAGGACAATAAACCATCTTCCATTAATTGGTGGAAAATTCCTTTTAGTAACTTAGCAACTATTGTTTTAATGCAGTTCTTAATGAAGCCAAGACATAAGCTAAAAGCATTGAATTACATGCATTTAGGCTGTTTCAAATAAGATTCAACAAAATTGTTTTATTTAATGCTGAGTAATTCTAGCTGGCTTCAATCTTCGCTAGCTCTCTGGTTCTTCTGAGTGTAATTCTTGATAACCTAGCATCTTACTTCTGCAAGATCATAAACACAACTGTCTCATTAACTGAGGCCCGTTTCAAACGTCGTGCTGCTGCCGTGCCGAACTCAATTGATCGAATTAAATTCGATTTTAGCACGGCAGTAGCGCGACGCTGGAAACCAAGTCGTGCTACTGCCGTGTAGCAGGGCAAGCCTCGCCGTGCTACACGGGAGTAGCTCGACTTGGTTTCAAACGTCGTGCTACCGCCGTGCCGAACTCAATTCATGAATTATAAATACATTAGAATATATTTAAACGTTTGCTAAACCGTTTCTTTATTGTTGTCTTTTGTTTTTTGCAACAGCCAATCCTTTTGACTGTCATTGTGTGAATTAAATTCGACGTCTGAAACCAAGTCGTGCTAATGTCGTGCTGCAGTCCGGCTACAGTCGAGCCAGTAGCACGACGTTTGAAACAGGCCTGATTGACAATATACTGCTTGATAAGGCAAATAACAATAATGAAGTAAAACGACATAGATGGAATCAACCCGTGACAAGGAACAAAGAAAAAAAAATCTGAATTCCTAGTGGGGAGAAGCGTATATTCAACTCCGCATGACCCTCAAGGCTCTGCTAGTCGGCTTCTCAGAACACGTGATTAAACCACTAAGAAACACTGTATTACTGCATTGTTAATTGGTGGTCTTTACGTGGTTAAAACCTCTTTTGCTGTAGTAAGCATTTTCAGAAGATATTGAGAGGCTTTCAAGTCCGTTATACTTACGTATCTACCTAACCCACACACCAAACTTCTTCATTTTATTAACGTTTGCAGATTAGCATTACTGCAGAGTGAGAAAACTAACTTATCAGCTCAAAAGTTACGTACTTGTAGTTGATAGAACCTTCCTTCTTAGGATCAAGGCGTGCCAGCAGACGAGCTGTTTGTTCTATTCCGAATGTAATATCCGCCCTCTGCAAAAATAAAACATAAAAATCATGGAGTCCAAGCACTGCAGGAAAGTGTGTTTTAGAGCCAGCGTAGGTCGAAGGAAGATCAGATTGCGTCACTTTTGATTTCTGTTTTGATTTCTGCAATTCTGCTTTGAGCTGCAATATATCCCTCTGTCAGAGCCTAACACTTTATTGCCCTCACGAAATGAAATTGTGGACAGGGGTAGGGCGTGGCTTTTGAATGAGAGCGATATAAGTATGAGTGCCAAGAAAACTAATAAAGACGGCATATATGTGACATATGTTTCCTGCCTGTTCCGCCGATGAATACTTTGTTAATGCTAAGTACGTGGTTTTTATCACAGCAAACATTATAACGTGGAAGTGCCGACGAATCGAAGTGAGAAGAATAAATCTCTACATGAACGCTGATATGAAAAGACTATTATGTACCTTTAGGCACTTCACAAAGTCCGTTCTTGAAATCTTCATTGCCCCTTTGCAGTCATTATACTTCTGACAAAATTCCATCCATTGATCTTGATTGTTTGATACAAAACTCTTTACAACACTCAGAGGGTCCTTCACGCCTGGACGAAGATTGGCTCTGATTTGAATGTCAGGCTTCACTTGACGCACTTCCCCCAGAAGCTGGTCAAAGGATTCGTCTAAGTATATATCCTATAGTGATAGGAGTAAATAGGTTGAGTCATATACGTTCCATATATAGCAAAGAACCCCTTTAATATTCCCTCAAGCCGTATTACACAAGTTCATGCATATTGAACAAACAATAGAAAGAAGGCACATGATCAGATGGATCTGAAGGCAAAAAAAATTAGACAACAGATAAAAAAACTATTGAAAACCTGACTAATTGTATATCCTCCTTTTCTGAACTTCAAAGCTCGAGACTGACTAACCTTATCCTACGTGATTACTTTTATACAATTCTGGTATAATTTTTATTCTAGTCTTTCATTCTCAGTGCAAAGTTTGCTCAGTAAAACCGAATGTATGGGGGTTAGATGTGAGCAAAACATAGTAGTATAACGATCGACCGAGTCATGAGGAACTCTCATAGAATAATAATACCTTGAAGTGCAATTCTGTCAAGGCGCTGTCGGCGAAGTTCTTAGCTGCTGATAAAATAGCTTTTGCACCTTCGGTACCGATGGGGTTACTTCCAACCTAAGCGGGAAAACGTAATGTTTACAAATCGTTAAATACCTACAAGATAGAAGCTAACTTCATACTCTCTTCCTATGGTCTAATTTAACGTCATCAGAGTACAATACAAAAGGTACTAACGCATAAACTTGTTTTAAAGCTCATACTTAAGTTGGGACTGGGACTCTTTATTCGACATTTATCTCAATGGTGATCCTTGGTGATCCTGGGACTCTTTATTCGACACTTATAAGGTCAAAATAGCCACCTTAATTTATAATATATATACAACTGCATAACTCCATCATGCTTGGAACATATAATCCAAAGGAAAGGGTCTAAGTATGACCTCCGTCATCAACATCGTGTCAGCGTACAACATTTTGAAACTTATTATATGAAAAACTCTATTTCTTACAGAGGATCCATTGTTTGGAATCGTTTAGAACCATCCGCTTTGAGCGCCAGGGACTATGGCAAAAGGGCAAAAAAGTCACACCCCCTCAGAAACTTGAACTTTAATGAAGAGTCACCGCAAATGGGTCGTCCCCAAATTTACAGTGATTTCGTCTTTTATTAATTCTATTCATATTTTTTATGGTACATATTTCACCTTTTACTGACTACATTCAATTTTAATAATTTTTATTATTTTATTTTATTAACATTTTTTACACGGCCCCATAAGCTATATTAGCTTTAAACCCACCGTGTTTAAATAAAAGATATTGTTGTTGTTGGAACCTTTCCTCATAGCTCAGTCTTTAGTTATAACGAGAATAACTGCTGACAATACCATTTCAAAAACCTTTTACAATTTATATGTCATTCTGCATCCGACTCAAATGGGAATGTTACATTCTTGGTTATTAAAAAAAGCCTCCGGTATTTCGTGGAACAAAAGAAATAATATTTGACATCTTTGATCATATACTAAAGCATAACAGGATGCGGCAGTGCAAAAATGTCATGGAATTTGAATTATTCAACGTTTATCTATTATAAGACATAGAAAAGTTAGCTACGAAAATTACCATTTCCCTTGACTGCAAGTAGAACTAAAAGTTTGCTTTTACAAGGATAATCTGCTACCTTTAGTATTTCGAGGGTGTTATTTCCTTCAAGACCTTTAGCGATGCACATCGCACCCTGCGTTGTTATTCTGTTATTGCTAAAAAGAAATAGGGAGTTAATAGTCACAAATGACCTGTTAATAAAATAGGTGCTTCCATAAGTTCAGATGCGTCTATATTCTTAAAGCACGGTTTTTTCGTTTCCGATTATTCTTAAGGGGTGGTTCAAGAACAAAATACAGACCTATACTTCACAGGTGTTGCGCGTTTGCTGAAAAGTTGGTCCAGGTACCCAACGTATATTAAAATGTCATTTGACTTCATTGTGGTCATTACGGAAAAACATTAGTATATGCAACTGGTGATCAAAGGGTCTGGTAAGTTTCTATTATCCTACAGTGTCTTGTAGTAGCCAAACCTGATATCTAATTCAAGGAGTGTATTATTCGCTCGAACAGCCTCCCCCAAAGCGACAGCTCCATCATTAGAAAATCCGTTGTAGGACAGATTGAATGTCTTAAGAGTACAGTTCGTCTGAAAGAGAGAAACAAAAAGCAGATAACCTGCAATACTGCAGTCATCAGATACTAAACTAACCCTTATCCAATGTTTTTTTCTGTGGAAAACATCACTACTGATGCTGACAGCCGAGGCTTGAATCATTAGAGAGCTTTAGATTTAAGAACGAGAACGAGTACGAGGTTTAACTTGAAGTTTTTGCGCGTGTTCTAAAAATAAATAAACCTCGGAAAGCTCATTTTACTTTTTTCACCAAAAAACTTAGTACAGTTAAATATGCTGAAGGAGGTTAAACCCTCTCCCGAAGGCAACATGAAAAATCTTTTTTAGATTTGATAACTTGTTCTCGCCACTACGACATTCTCACTAAAACTCGTAGTAGAATGACGACGGTTATCACGTTTTCCCCTCCCAAATGACGCTTGGTTCACGCGTGAACACTAATGGTTCGCGCACGGGCAATACTCAGTACTGAGAAAACATCATGCTCTTAGTCGTCCACGTCTCAGAATCTAAAGCTCTCTATTCACTTTGTTCCGAGCGTGACATAGCCCCGCACTTCTGGCCAACACAATCGTGTACATGTATGTCTTAACGCCTGGCAATGTAAAAAGAAGGCTGTTCTGATCTTCTTTACTTACCCGTAAACCATTTGCAATTTCAATAGCACCTTGGCGTCGAATGTGATTCCAGCTTAAATCCAGGTGCTCTAAAGAATCGTTGGAGCCTGTATATGAAAAAGTTAGAATAACGGTAATGATAATGGTATCGCTAATGATATTTTAAACTCTTCTTACGGTGCTTTTTTCTTATATTTATATTCACCATACGAAAATAATATAGTCAGAAGAAAATAACAATTTCAGCCCACATACTGCAGGTATAGCATAACATATATATAACATAACATAAAACTTTATTAATGTGTCTTGAAATGTCTAGCCGATGGGGTTAAGAACCCCTCTACTAATTGGGGACACCTAACAATATAATATAGTTACCTAACAATATAATGTAGTTAAAAACCTACTAACTATCAACTAATGAAATAA